CACTGCGTCCTCTAGGTTTCTTGCCATGCTGCGGACGCAAGCTTCAGACGAAGAAGTGAATGATGTGTAGCTCCCGGCGCCGATTTATACTGTAGTCGCACCGGTAGTGACGTCATGGCTGTCGCCGGCCAACGAGTTAGTGTTTTCTCAATGTATGCTTCAGACACGGGTCACGACGAGGCGTTCCCCATAGCGACCCCTAGAGGACGCAGTGTCTCGTTCCCTACTCAGGGAACCATGGTTACATAAGTAACCCGAGACGATTACAATCAATCCAAAATTATTCAGACAGCTGTTAGTATGACAGCATTTACACAACTATCAATACTTATTGGGAAAACCTTTAGCCTCAATGACAGCCTGTAGTCTCCTGGGCGTGCTGTCACCCAGCTTCATGCAAACCTCAACTTCAGTTTTTTTCCCCAGACTCGGTCTGAATAATTTTTTTATCACAAATTTGTATCAATTTTACTGGTAGTCCACTGTATGAAGAATTTTTGGGTATGATTTGTCACAGTTGACTTTATTTTGCTCTCCTCACTTACATAAATGAACTATAGTGTCCTGCACCCACCAGTAAAAAAAATACAAAAAATTATATCTGGTCTCTGAATTTTTGGTTTCACTGTATATCCTTCGGTTATTTTTACACTTAATTATGCCCATTAAAATGTATTTTACAAGTTTTTGTTACTTTCACTGTTAATTTTTTTGCTCTATCATCATCTTTACATCATCTTTAATTTAATAGCATTAGAGCAGCGGCTTAGTACTGTAATCACGCGCTTTGCTGTAATAATGCAGAGAACCACTCGTTCTAACTGCGTGTATTCTCGTTCTAACTAAATCTCCTGTGATATTTTCAGAAATAGAAGCTGCGTTTTTTCATCTGAAATGTGCTGCGATTTATATTCCAAAGCCACTCATATAATGCAGAAACACTCAAGCAAGCAAAACACACGCAACGCGTGCACGTATTTGTACTGATGCAGAATAGTACAGCCTAGCGCACTTCACACAGGCTGCTGGATTCACTTTCGCCTGAAAGTCGTGTATGCCTAAGGTTAAAAATAAATTGTTTATAGTGAATGCCCCTATAAAATAAATAATTTTTACGATTTAGTTTTAATCTAAATGATGCGTGTGCTAAGTGAGTGAACATCAAAGATCACACAACAGAATTGTGCGCGCGCTCTCTCTCTCTCCCTACTGTTAAGTAACTTGTGCATTGTTTTACTTACTTGTTTTTTAAATATCTGCCCGAACTACAAACTTTCCAGTAATATCTGTGAGAAAGGTATATTCACTCGACAAGCTCGCACATCTGCGCTGCCGCGCGCTCAATCCACTCAGCGTGCTTTGTTTATCAGCTTGCGCACATCAGCTATACAGGCGTTAATACTGAATGTTTAACATTATATTCATTGCATACATATACCTCGTAGTAGACATCCTTAACGCCTTTCTGCTGTCTGTTGTTCTGTTGTCTGTGTTTCTTTGTCTGAATATGGCGCTTATCACATGCTGTGTGGTATCGGGGCATTTTAACGAGTACGAGTACGAGTACAGGAGACCATTATCGGGCCGATACCGATTCCACTATCGGTATCGGTGCATCCCTAACAAGAACTGATTAGATTATGAAAGATGGACTTTCTATGACAGGTGGTTGAGAGAGGGCTGAAAGAGAAGAAATAATGATGACATCGTTATTCCCGTGACATCATTTGTGGTGCGACCTACCTTGAAGGTCAGTGATCATGACTTTGTTGTCGTAGGAGCCGGTGAGCAGATAGTGAGCTCCAGGAGAGAAGCGCACTGAACGCACGTCGCTGGTGTGCGGCCGATACGCCTGGACGCTTCGACCTCCTCTGATGTCATAAAGCATGCAGCGACAGTCCTCCAATCCGGTGGCCATGAGCCGCCCACTGGGATCCACCGCCACCGAGGCCACAGCACTTCCTGTCACATGACACAAGAATATAAATGATCCAAACCTCTGTGCAAAGACAGATTCAATAATGAAAATGGGCAATTTTTTGATTATTATTGTTAGTGTTATTGTTATACGTGTTTATTTATTTACTTTTTTGCTGTTGCTTGTTGTCACTGAATTGTTTAATAATTATAATAGTTATCAATTTTATCCTATAAATATTTTTACATTATTATTTTAGTTTTATTATTATTATGTTATTGTATTGATTCTTTTTCCATTGGTCGTTGTCAATGAATTTATTTGTATTTAATAGTACTAATACTAATAACAAAATATTTTATTATTATTACTATTATTGTTGTTGTTATTAATTATTTAATAATTTTATATATTTTATTATAATTTTGCTAATATGGGCTAATGCTAATAATTGATATTATTATTATTATTAACATATCATCTTTTTATTTTTTAATTATTATTATTATTATTTATTTTTTGCATTGGTTTTCACTGAATTGTTTAATAATTATAATAGTTATCAATTTTATCCTATAAATATTTTTACATTATTATTTTAGTTGTATTATTATGTTATTGTGTTGATTCTTTTTGCATTGGTCGTTGTCAATGAATTTATTTGTATTTAATAGTACTAATAACAAAATATTTTGTTATTATTACTATTATTGTTGTTGTTGTTATTAATTATTTAATAATTTTATATATTTTATTATAATTTTGCTAATATGGGCTAATGCTAATAATTGATATTATTATTATTAACATATCATCTTTTTATTTTTTAATTATTATTATTATTATTTATTTTTTGCATTGGTTGTCACTGAATTGGTTTTAAATATTAATATTCTGTAATACTAAAATTAATACTATTGTACTGATTATTATTGTTTTTGTTATTTGTTTTTTTACATTGGTCATTGTCATTTAATTGGTTTTGAATTTTAATATTGTGTTTAATAAAACTAAATATTTATTTTTTATCAAATAATAATTCTTATTATTAAACATAATTTAAAATTTCAATGAATTGGTCAAAGTAATTTACAAAATAGTCTTGCACTGATTCATTCACAAATCACTCTAAATTTGGTTTGAACAATTTCTAGAAATCTTTATCCCATTAATCACAAACAGCTGGGAAGGTCATGAAAAAAAAGAATTGTGTAAATTGGTCAAATGTGGGAATCCTGATGTCTTAAATAAAGGCTTGTAAAGGAGCCGAGAAGAAAAACACACCTGTTCCATGCAGGGCTGTCCCAACCACCTTCACACAGCTGGGCACACGCAGGTCCCAAAACCTCACCGTCTTATCCTGAGAGCCGGAGGCGATCATCCACCCGCCCCACGTGTACAGAGACAGGATGTGTCCTGCGACAGCAAGGCAGATCACACAACACAACATGACATCCTTTTCATACGTGAAGAGGATGCAGTGTTTCCCCTAGGTTTACAGCTTTGAGGGGGGGGATTCTGGACTTCTTTTTAATATTTTTAATGAATTACTTTAAATTAAATTGTATTAATCAAAAAGCATGTCTAATTAATTAAAATCATGAAACATAAACAGTTTAACATCAATTTATTACAAGTTTAACAAAAACTTGTTTAGGGCCCAAAAATGTTTTATTTTTTCCAACCTTATGTTTTATTGTTACCAGATTCTGTGTTTTAGCATGTCTAATTATTTGAAAGCATAAAAACAAGTTTTATTTATTCATACAATAGCCTAATGATTTTTTCCCTCAGAAATTCTCTGTTGTGTATTTACATTTTTAAGGCATAAAACATTCATTTAATTTATCTTTTAATTAACGAAAATTAAAACATTTTTTTTTTTTGAAAATAAAAAGAATTTAATATTACAATTAAAACATTGAAGAAATATTGTATGATTATAACTTATTGTACTGATTATTATTGTTTTTGTTATTTGTTTTTTTACATTGGTCATTGTCATTTAATTGGTTTTGAATTTTAATATTGTGTTTAATAAAACTAAATATTTATTTTTTATCAAATAATAATTCTTATTATTAAACATAATTTAAAATTTCAATGAATTGGTCAAAGTAATTTACAAAATAGTCTTGCACTGATTCATTCACAAATCACTCTAAATTTGGTTTGAACAATTTCTAGAAATCTTTATCCCATTAATCACAAACAGCTGGGAAGGTCATGAAAAAAAAGAATTGTGTAAATTGGTCAAATGTGGGAATCCTGATGTCTTAAATAAAGGCTTGTAAAGGAGCCGAGAAGAAAAACACACCTGTTCCATGCAGGGCTGTCCCAACCACCTTCACACAGCTGGGCACACGCAGGTCCCAAAACCTCACCGTCTTATCCTGAGAGCCGGAGGCGATCATCCACCCGCCCCACGTGTACAGAGACAGGATGTGTCCTGCGACAGCAAGGCAGATCACACAACACAACATGACATCCTTTTCATACGTGAAGAGGATGCAGTGTTTCCCCTAGGTTTACAGCTTTGGGGGGGGATTCTGGACTTCTTTTTAATATTTTTAATGAATTACTTTAAATTAAATTGTATTAATCAAAAAGCATGTCTAATTAATTAAAATCATGAAACTTAAACAGTTTAACATCAATTTATTACAAGTTTAACAAAAACTTGTTTAGGGCCCAAAAATGTTTTATTTTTTCCAACCTTATGTTTTATTGTTACCAGATTCTGTGTTTTAGCATGTCTAATTATTTGAAAGCATAAAAACAAGTTTTATTTATTCATACAATAGCCTAATGATTTTTTCCCTCAGAAATTCTCTGTTGTGTATTTACATTTTTAAGGCATAAAACATTCATTTAATTTATCTTTTAATTAACGAAAATTAAAACATTTTTTTTTTGAAAATAAAGAGGATTTAATATTACAATTAAAACATTGAAGAAATATTGTATGATTATAACTTTAAAAAAAAATAAGGTTTTAATAATTTTAGTAGTAGTAGTAGCCTATTACGTACATTCTACTGAACAATAGCAGGCAAATATTTTTCTGCTGCAATGTCTTCAAGTTAAACCGAACTTTTATTTTGATGGGTTGCCATGAATACCTTTACATTTCTGTGTGTATATGATATGAGGATAGTTTTACTCAAATGAAACGGTCAAATGCTGATGAAGTGACTCTCAGAGCAGTTCTGGAGATGTTGTTCATGTATTTATGTCCTCGTTAGTGAGACGGCAGACGCTAAAATCACCACAAGCGCCACCACGCTTCAGTACGAGTGGTAAACAAAACCACACGTCTGCGACATTCATTAACACAGAGACATAATTCATATTTAAATAGTCGTTTTGCGGCTTAATATTTATAAATACTAGTGGGAGTGTGTTCATTTGTGTGTGCGCATCGGGGCAGAACTCGGATACAGAGAGTGCGACCATGTAACGTAGAGACAGAAATGACATGCCGTCGTGTAAATAAGATAAATAACATAAGGCTATTTAGTTTGTTTAATAAAAGAACAAGGTATAGCCGTGTTCTACAGGAAAGGTACATTTAAATGACTTCTGTTGTGATCTGCGCTATAGAGAAAACAAAATTAACTTAACCTTCAAGGGGGCGGGGGGTGCCGTTGGGGGGGCGAGCCGCCTAATATAATGTCAGGGGAAACACTGGGATGGTTTGTGTGTGTGTGTGTACCTGTGTGTCCGCTGAGCGCATGCAGCCCCTGTCCTCTCTGGCAGTCAGTGGTGTAGATGTTACAGTCTCCAGCACCAGCACTGATCAGGATCGCCCCTCCGCTCTCGGGACCCTCCATAAACGCCAGGTCTCTGATGGTGCCGTCATGCATGCTGAACTCTAGATCTGGACCTGCAGTCCAAACACACGCACACGCACGCACACACACACACGCACACACACACACACACACACATTACCCTGTTAACCACTGCTTCTTCAACAACCATATTATCATTTATACAGTATATTTCATTAACTGCAATAGTTAACTATGTAAGATATAAAGTCACACTTTAAATAAGATGTATAAATTATATTAATTTAATATATAATAATAATGTATTTATTTTAATACATTATTTAATTATATTAATTTAATGTATTTAAATGATATTTAATATCATTTATATATTTTAATTTTTGTATATTACTTACGTTGGTTGTCACTGAATTCTTTCTTACATAAAATACCATTCAAATGTTTGGGGTCATATTGTTTTTTATTTATTTATGAAATAAATACTTTTATTTAGCAAAGACACAAAATTCATTAAAAATGACAGTAAAGACATGTACAGGTGCAACTCAATAAATTAGAATGTCGTGGAAAAGTTAATTTATTTCAGTAATTCAACTCAAATTGTGAAACTCGTGTATTAAATAAATTCAATGCACACAGACTGAAGTGGTTTAAGTCTTTGGTTCTTTTAATTGTGATGATTTTGGCTCACATTTAACTGTCTGTTCGAAAATATTCTATATTTACACTACACAAAACGTATTTGACAGACATTATTTGAAAGGCACGTTACCTGTGGCGTTGCAGGTGTCTGCATTGAACGGAAGAACTTTGACGTACTTGTCATTGGAGCCCGTGGCGAGAAGCTGCCCACAGGGACTCCAGGCCACACAGTAAATAGAGCCTTTATGGTGTTTAATACGCTTAAAGCAGATCTCGGGCTGTTTGACTGGACCCTGAGCGCTAGACAGGAAAAACAGAGGATGTTAGTAGATATTTTGAAGAATGTTCAAGTTTCTGACAGTTTTGTATGAAAGCCCGTTTCCGCCATTAAATTAAAAAATAAATAAATAAGGTAATTGCGACTATTTATCTTGCAATTCTGACTTTTTTCTCAGAATTGTTGGATATAAACTCGCAATTGACCTATTCCTGAGTTCCGCCCCCCTTAGTTACTGTTGCTCACTTGGACAAACAAACAGAGCTGCTCACTGTCTTACAATGACAGCGGTCAGTGAAAACCTTCTTCTGAGATGTTTCTGATAAATTTGGGACACAGATGGACCTTCAAGTCGGACTTAAATATGCCATGGAGGGATATATAAAAGATATTAAAATAAATATGTAAAAATACAGATCACAATGCAAACAATGTTTCTCTATAGCACTGAGCCTGAAACCTAAAGAAGTCTGAGTTCCACTCCCCGTGCAACTGATACTCGACTGCCATTGGCTCATCTGCGTTCGAGGGGAGGGGCTTACCGATAGATCAATTGCGAGTAAAAAAAAGTCAGAATTGCGTGATATAAACTGGCAATTCTGACTCTTTTCTTGCAATTGTGAGTTTATACTTCGCAATTCTGACTTTTTTTCTCGTTATAAAGTCCATTTCTGAGGGGGGGAAAAAGACTGATATTTTATAACTTGCAATTGTGAGTTTATATCATGCAATTCTGAGAAAAAAAGTCAGAACTGCGAGATGTGAACTTGCAATTGCGAAAAAAAAAAAAGTCAGACCTGTGAGATTATTGCCTTTTTTTATTTTTTATTAGTGCTGTCAAACGATTAATCACGATTAATCCACTTAAGAAAAATATGTTATATTTGTATATTAAATATATTTATATGTAATATAAATATATACATGTAAATACATGTAAATACATGTAAATATTTTCAAAATATTTACTGTATGAGTGTGTATTTATATATACATAATAAATATACACAGTACACACACATATATTATGTAAACAAAAACTTCTATTTTGGATGCGATTAATCGTTTGACAGCACTATTTTTTATTCAGTGGCAGAAATGGGTTTCCATAGTTTTGGGTCCCATTGACTGCCATAGTATTTTCTGTCCATACTATATAAGTCAAATAGAACCCGAAAAGATTTGGTTACCAACATTCTTCAAAATATCTTCTTTCATGTTCCACAGAAGAAAGAAACTCATACAGGTTTGGAACAACATGAGGGGGAGTAAATGATGACAGAAATGTCATTTTTGGGTGAACTAACCCTTTAAATACTGAGATGAACACACCTGGTTTTGAGGGATTGTGGGTAAGTGCAGACACGCAGTGTTTTGGAGTTGGAGCCGATTGCGTAGAGGGTCCCGGACGGGTGGAAGGCGACCGCGCGCACAGCCTGCGTGTCCTCCAGCGTCTGCACTGCAACAAATGGGGATTTGGGTTTCTCGTCCTGAAACACACTGTCATGATACATCTGCATTAGAAGCAGCTCACAAACCAGTTATTTCATTTTTTTAGGGTTGAAGGTTGTGAGAAACCTCTGGTTGACCAGCACTGGGGACTCGTCCAGAGACGGGACACCTCGGCCTCCTCCCTTCTGAGGGGTGCTGCTGATCACTGCGGTCTTGTTCTGGCCTGAGCCGGTCTCTGGGGTCTGTTTACTGGCTCCGCTCGCTGCTGTACCGTTACACTGCTGGGCCAAAGCCTGGACATCTTCACCCAGGTCCTCCATTCCCACATTCAGCTCCTCCAGTTTCTGAATGGACCTTCATGAATGATCAAGAAAACTATGGCTGATGGTGATATCTAGAGGTACTCTAAGGTACTTAATGCTGATATAATGCTGATATTGATCAAATTTTAATGACAGCAAAGCAGTTTTTAAAATTTACGTACATAATATTTACTCTAAAATTCACAATTAAAAATGTTTTTTTTTAAATAATAGTTATTAATAAACGGAGCAATTCCAAAATGGTCCTCGCACCATCAATGCTCGGGGCCTAATAATTATAATAATAATTACATTCCTAATAATTGCATTTACAAATATACATACAAAATAAAAATACATATTGTATTATAAATTATTTAAAACACAAAATAAATATATACAAATATGTAAAATATACTATTAAATTGTATTTAATTAATAATTATTAAAATTAATAAATGGCATAATAAACATACTGCAGTTTAATGATGGCAAAAATACGTTTACAAAATTGCTGAAAAGCAATGTACAACTAAATTGTACTATATGATATTGTAAATAAACTGCTGATAATCTCAAAATGACCAAATATTATGAGATTAATATGTCTATCACTAGCACAAATCAAGTATTAATATATAATATAATAAAAAAATAATAATTTTACAATATACAGCAAATGAGTTATGTACACAAAAAATGTAAATTACTGATTTCATTTCACTTATTTCACAATGGCATTTTATTTTCATATTAAAATGTTTATCACTAGTAAAAATAATATATGATATTACACTGATCATTTTATATGAAATACAGTTTGTAAAAATATATTTAACATATATATATATATATATATATAATTATATTTTAATGACATTAAAATAGCATAATTTACATAATTCACAATTTCTATAAATGATATCACATAAATTAGATTTTTATGATTTAATGAGAGCCAATAAGAATTTTAAAATATTGCGGGAAATCAATGAACAAAAAAAGATGTAAATATAACATAATAATTTGCAGATAGTCTCAAAACTGCCAAATATTTCCAGATCAATCTCTATCCCTATATATAAAATAATACTTAGAATAAGTATTAATAAGTCTAGACTAGAACAGAATAGAATAGAGCACATGCTATTTCTGTTATCCCTGTCTGAAATTAATGGCACATCAATAACAAGTGAAACAAATGAGTTAGTTAATGGTAAGCAAGTTCCAGCCCAAGAGGCATTTACAGCACTTCCAATCTCATCAGCTTGACATCAGAAGCCACATAATCAATCAACAACACTGCACTTCCTCTGGGGCACTTCAGAGGTCTGGAGCTGACCTGTTGAGGAACTTCTGTGTGAGATTGTGCTGCGCTGCGTCTGTGGGCTGATCTGGGGGATGAACTCCACCCTCCAGCAGCATCTGATGGTACAGCTGCCTCTGCTGCTGCTTCTGCTCGAGATGCTGCTGCACCCGCAGCCGCTGCCGCTGGAACTCCTGAAGCTGCTCCTGCACACACACACCACAACAAAAGTCAGCAGCAATGACAAGACTGTCATCATTTGCACATGTAACCTAAATGTAGCCGTTTTAATTACCTCCGATTTTTCAGCTGAACCCATGGCTCCACCATCTCTGCCAGGAGTCAGTGGAGGACGCAGTGAGTTCGCTCCTCCTGAGCCGTTTATCCTCTCGTCCGGTGCTCTGGAGGAACACCAGTCAACACAAATGAGCGGGACAACATCTTAATATCTGTGGATGCACGGATAGTAAAATTCACGTTCATGCGGCAAGCTGATAGATGGCTGATAAATGGCTAGAATTAAAAATTCCATACAATTTTTTTTAATACATTGAAAATAAAACACTTAAAACTATGAAAACAGATAGTTATTATGAGATTGATTTAGGATTAAACGATAAACCTTAAATGAGCGTTAGATGACGGCAAAAGTCATCTAAATGTAAAAATAGAGGAAATAAGCAAGAACAATATACAATCTACATTACCATTTAAAAGCCTGGTTCCGGTAAGATTTTTAAATATTTTTGTAAGAAGTCTTTTATGCTTACCAAGACTGGATTTATTTGATTAGAAATACAGTAATATTGTGAAATACTATTACAATTTAAAATAACTGCTTTCTATGTTAATATGCTTTAAAATGTCATTTATTCCTGTAATGAAAAGCTACCTTTTCAGTACCATTACTGTGTCACATGATCCTTCAGAAATTTTTTCAATACACTGATTTGCAGCTTAAGAAACATTTGTTATTGATATTATCAATGTTGAAAACAGTTGTGCTGCTTTATATTTTTGTGGAAACCCAAGACATTTACTTCAGAATTCTTTAATGAATAGAAAGTTCAAAATAACGTTTAACTAGAAATCTTTTTTGCAACATTATAAATGTCTTTACTGTCACTTTCTATCAAATTAATGCATCCATGCTGAATAAAGGTAATAATTAATTATTTCATTAAAAAAAATCGTACTGACTCCACACTTTTAAACAGTAGCATAGCATAATGACAAAATCAAGAATATTATCTCTACCTTTTGATAAAAACTGCACATTAATATTATGGTTTCTACTGCCAGTTCTCTAAAATATACTGACAGTCATTGAAGTTTGTCTGGACTTAACTAGTAAAGCTGCCAGGGTTTATTTCAGTGGATCTAACAGGATTAGAAGTGTCAAGCTTGACCACCATATGTCGCATTTCACTGCTCACAGTAACACCTTCTAACACAGAAACCAGCTCTGAGAAGCTAGATTTTACTACGGTATTTTATACTTTACAATAAATCGTGCAGTTTTGTTTATGACTGATGTTTACCCTTGGTTTTATTGATGATTAATATAGTTAAACCATGGTAACCACAAACTAACCATGGTTTGGCTACACGAACCATAGTATTTGTAGTAAAACTGTGGTTATACAAATGGTAATCAATACGCCCAAAAAAATAATACACTTTTAATATAATAAAACCATGGTTAATTTTCGCAAGGGATGGGATGCAAACTCATGGAACACAAAAGAAGATATTTTAAAGAACATTTTTCAACTGTTTTGATCTATACAATGGAAGTCAATGGAGTCCAAAACAACAGCATTGAACCCCACTGACTTTTCCAGTATTGACAGAAACACTGTTTTCGAAATATCTTCTTTCGTGTTCCACAGAAAGTCATACCAGTTTGAATCGACATCAGAATGATTAAATGTTAACCAAACTGTCGTTTTTGGGTGAACTATCCCACCTGTCAGGCGAATCACTGAGGACGTTGCTCTCCATTGCGTTTTTGCTTCCATTTCCTCCTGAAGGATACCCAAAGTTGGCGAACGACTGCGACATGGCCGATGCTTTCCCGTCACCTTCCGTGCTTTTCTTTTCCCTTCCCACCAAGCCGTGGGACAGACCGTCCAGGGCGGGATTGAGAGAGCGGGACATGTAAGTATCCGCCGAGTGGGGCCGCCGCAGAGGCGATGCTGGGCAGGGCGAGAGTTTGGTGAGCAGAGGTGTGAGAAGATCTGCGTGACCCGTCCGGACCGGTTTGATGAGCCGGTCCACGTGGATGCTGAGGGTCTTCTGCTCAAATGCGCAAGCGAAGACCGACGGCGAGAGGTTTTGCAGCCAAGACAACAAACTCAAGTCCAGTTCCTCGCAACCATTCCCACACAGGACGTCGACGGCGAGGAGAACCTCCTCCTCATTGATTTCCTCTCCAGTGGCTTTGCTCTGGCAGAACTCAACGCAGCATTCGTACAGGATTCCCTTGATGAGGAGCTGGAACAGACGGTCACCGCTGGCTTTGAATCCGGCTTCGCTCAGTTTGCGGTCGGCAGGGATGAATTCAGCCACCATGGAGCAGGCCTCCTCGAAGCAGTGCACGCGGGCCGTGCTGGGGTTCCAGTCCTTGAATTCGGCGTGGTGGGTGAGGCGCGGGAACGTGAGGAGCAGGCAGAGCTTGCTGTAGTCTTCTTTGGTTGGGCAGAACTCTTCCAGGGAATGAAGGGACTTCACCGCATCTTGCATGGTCAGCTCCAGCTGCAGGTGGGAAAGAGAGCGGTCATTGTGAATGAAACCTTTCTGACACATTTTGAGTCATCTATCTATCTATCTATCTATCTATCTATCAGTATTAAATAATATTTTCATAGATTTTATTTCATAGATTCAGAATAATTTACAAGATTTATTCTAAGAACTAAAGGCCATTTTATGGTACAAATAATATTATATAATTAAACTTCCATTTTGCACAAGACAAGAATTATTTATGTACTTTATTCATGTATCAGTTACTTATTTATCATGGTACACATAACAAAAATAATCATAACTTACAATTACACTTCTTCCATTTTGCATAAATAACGAGCAATATTTATTTATTTATTTATTTGCTTGTTTGTATAAAACTTTTATTGATTCAAACTATTCATTTATAAGTATTAAAGGCTATTTTAAAAATAAAAATAATAATAATAAACTTCTTCCATTTTGCACAAAAGATAAACATTATGCATGTATTTATTTATTATTAAAGGATATGGTACAAGTAATAATAATAATAATAATACAAACGTTTGTTGATCATTTTGCATAAAAGACTCATAATTTATAAATAATGTCTCTATCTATCTATCTATCTATCTATCTGTCGGTCGGTCTATCAGTATAACATTTTCGTATTAAAGGCTATTTTAAAATAATAATAATAAAACAAACTTGTTCCATTTTGCACAAAAGATAAACATTATGTATGTATGTACAGTGGGGAAAAAAAGTATTTCGTCAGCCACCAATTGTGCAAGTTCTTTTTGTTGATCATTTTGCATAAAAGACTCAATTTATAAACAATCTATCTATCTATCTATCTATCTATCTATCTATCTATGTATCAATAATAATAATACAAACTTTTGTTGATCATTTTGCATAAAAGACTAAATTTATAAACAATCTATCTATCTATCTATCTATCTATGTATCTGTCTGTATGTCTGTCAGTATAAAATTTTCGTATTAAAGACTATTTTAAAACAATAATAATAATAAAACAAACTGCTTCCATTTTGCACAAAAGATAAACATTATTTATTTATTAGTATTAAAGAATATGGTACAAGTAATAATAATAATAATAATCTATCTATCTATCTATTAGTATAAAATTTTCATTTATTCAAATTATTACTATTATCATCATCATCATCATAACTAATAAACAAACAAACAAAAACAAATATTCATCTTTTATGCAAAAAGGAATGTTTAATTGCAAATAATAATAATCATAATCATATACAATTAAACTTTCCATTTTGCATAAAATTGATTTAAATATCAGTTTCTATGATGATGATAATAACAGTAATAATATTTTCAATTAAATAAAGTAAATAATTAAAGGCTATTTTCTAGGTACCAACATTACTACTAATATTAATACCATATACAATTAAACATTCCATTTTACATAAAAGACAAGTGGGTCTTTTTTTAGAATAACCTGATGCCATTTTGCACACACATACAAACACTCACATTATCAGGGTCATCTGCCGCAGATATGGCGTTGTTTACACACAGAGCTTCCAGAAACTTCTGTTTTAGGACGATATATCGAAATCTAAAAGATTCAAAATGCCCAAAAGACTGTGAACCAAGCAACACAAGCCTGAATTCTGGCAACAGATTCACAACTGTGCTTACTTCTTTCTGTCAAATTTATCCAGGCACTCCAACGGCTGGATGAACTGCAAAACTTCCTCCCATTGCCCGTCTAATATAAGTTGCCTTAGAAAAATAAAAAGGACAAAAATTAGTTCATCTTCTAAATAATATTGAACAAGATTCTTTCATAAGTTAAAATGATGTTACTGAAAGAAATGCAAGTGTACTCAATACTTCAGCACCTGAAATAGATGCGGTTTTTCCATTTCCACACTTCATTAAGCAGCACTACCATTTATTAAAGGGGTCATAGGATTCCCATTTTCCACAAGTTGATATGATTCTTTAGGGTCTTAATGAAAAATCTGTAACATAGTTTGGTTAAAACTGATCAATGGTAGAGTAAAAAACACCTTTTTTACCCTGTCAAAAAACAGTTTTGTAGCATTTTCCTTAAATGTTAATGAGCTCTGCTAACCCCGCCCCTCTCTTCCTGCTCTCTGAGGGACTGTTTACTTTAGCCGCATTCATCGTGAAACCTGTGTGGGTTCAAATAATTTTGGTAGGAATAAAATGAACAAAACACAAAAATGGACAAAGGTTTATTTTTCCTCATTTGAAAATTCCTTAAAATTATGTCACCCAGGAAACAATATTATTTAATACTAGTGTGAATTTTATTTTATTTTGCTAGAAAGCAGAAAACCCTGCTGTTGTGCTGTATGACCACTTGATGGCACAATACAATCACAAGACTGATCCAAAAGCATGTTTTTGATTTCACCAGGAACTCATCGATGAGTACATTGCTGACCTAATCGGTGAATGGTTGAGCTGAAAGAGAAGCTCATTTGAGATGACTTTCAATAGCACACGTACGTCTTCAAGATGTTTGTTAAAGAGCGTTTCATCTGGAAAACATCTGCCGTCTATGAACATCTGAATAAAGTCTTTATACAATCAGTTTTAAATCATAAACATCTTAACAACATTTTCTAAATGTCTATGTAACATCTGACAGGAAACGTCTTAGAGGCGTAGGCTATATTGCAGATGAGCAAACACTCAAAAAAATAGGTCTTCCAAATATAAACACGTACATCGAATAGATGTCTCTGTAAACTACTACAAAGTTGAGTTGCTGTTGTGAGAATTACATATGTTAGCTATATAAACTATTTTCTAACCTAAAATTCACCTAGGAACAATGTAGCTAAACAAAATCCATCAGAGGTCTTGATTTTTTGGACTCAGCTCAACCATTCAAAACTGCTATGAAGATTATTGTAAGTAAAAACGATTAAAACCATTTATTTACTTTCATAGGATATATACGTTTAGCAATAAAGTACAAACCAACATTCGGTCTCAGACTTGCCAGCCTCAACCGTATGATTTAAACTAAAATGCAACATTTTTTCTCTTCTTCTTCTTCTTCTTCTTCTTCTTTACATTGCATACATTCTTTTTCTTTTCGAATTTGATGTTTATTTAATGTTTAATGCTAAAAGTAGTGAAGTTACACAAATCCGGGTTATGTTTAAACATTCTCAAATTTGGATAAAGGCAAGAAAATAAATAGAAAACAAAAACAGCTCATGAAATGTTTGACTTCATGAGGTTGACCATATGTTAATGGTCAAACTCATGAGGTCAACTATTTCTGAAGGCAAAGCACCTCCTTCAGTGAGCATTTGTGAATTGGTTTAATAGTTTTAAGGCCTGTTTTATACCTTATATGTCAAATATCTCACAAAGTATTGACTTAGTATCCAAATTACAGTTTAGCAATTGATTCTATCTTTGTGAGTCTTCATGCTGTTCAGTTTTTGTTAAATCTAGGTCACAAAGGAAGTGCATGAACTCATAAATTTTGGGGCACCCAAGTGTCCATAAGTTACTATGAGTGAGCGTGACCCTGTTTGGCAAAGGCCTTCATTGTTTTTTCACGCATTAAATGCACCTGCAACAGGGACAGGGTTGTTCTCTGCAGGACTGTGTCCCACTTTCTGCTAATGGTGTAATGTTTCTTTGAAAATTGTCCTACCTCTGCATTTTATATAGCTGCTTATGACCATCAACCTAACGATCTTTTACACCAGGGGCCAGTTGCATTAACTGTTTAGACTAGTCTTAAAAAGTTAGTCATCTAATTTTTCCCCCTTCAAGACTGGTCATAACTTTTTTAATTCAGTTATGAAAAGGTAGATTGGTCTTATTTGTGTTGGAAAAGTAAGACTGATTACCTCTTGGCAGCTGCTAGTTGGTCAAACTAGTTCTTAAGACACAGTTTTAACATGGTGGCTAAGTTTATGCAACTGGCCCCAGAACATACTAAATGGTTTGGGGATGGTAAAATTAAAAAAATGTTTTTGAAATAATTATCTCATGCTTGCCAAGGAGTTTACTTGATCAAAATACAATAAAAACAGTAATATTGTTAAATATTAATACAATTTAAAATATTTTGTATTTTGTATTTTCATGTATTTTAAAATGTAAGTCGTTCTAGTAATGTCAAAGCTGAACTTTTTGCATCATTGTATCAGTCCTCAGTGCCACATGATTCTTCAGAAATCATTATAATTTGCCAAGTTGATGCTCTTAAGAAGCAACTCTTATTATTATCAACGTCAAAATGTAAGTCTTTACACAGTCAATGAGTTCTCCTTCATTTCCTTCCTTCCTTTAAAAAAACAACAACAACAACATCAACCATAACAAAAATCAATCATAAATTACAGCCAATCAGAAGAGCGTGTGGGCGTGCTCTATTGCTCTCTCAGCAAGAAGAACATTATCGCACTCGAATCGAATTCAGTAAGTACATAAGTTTAAACAATTTTATCATTGTTCAAAGTAAATTTTCAGCTGTCTTTCATGGAATGCACTTGTTTGTTCACATAGAGTTCACAGTTTGAAAGTTCTTGTTTCCTTTAAGTTATATTCAAGATCTGAGGTAAAGTTAAGCTACTGTCGTGTTTTGACGGCTTATCAGAAAGTCGCATTTTGTGTTGAGTATTTAATTTTTGACAGGAATAAAAGGAGGCTGTGATGGATAGAAGTGCAGTGCGTTCAATGGATTATACTGTTGTTCAACAACATCATTGTTCAAAAACGTTAAGTGTTTAAAGGTGGGGTAAGCGATTTTTCAAAAACGCTTTAGAAAACTGATTCGGCCGAATAGCAAAACAAACTTGTAGCCAATCAGCAGTAAGGGGCGTGTCTACTCATGATGTGGAGGAGAGAGCGTTCAGTGCACGGGACGGACATTAGCTGAGTCGAGCGACAGAAAGATAGAGATGGCAGATAAAAAACAAAAGAGGAAAACGTCTGCGGGACAAAAGATGGCTTAAGGCAAGAAGTAGGACCCGTGTAAATATCGGATCCACTTTCTAGCGCTGGAGAGAACTCAAGGAGCAGTAGGCCTGCGATCGGACGCCGAGGTTGCTTTGTTTTTTTCTCGATAGGTGAGTAACACCGTGTCTGTGCCGCAACAGCTAGAGTCTGTCTAGTACACTGGACGCGACAAAGCGACCCTTGAAAATCATTAGAATTTTGGGTCAATACGTCATAAATAGAATGCAGCAGCAGTTTTCTGTCGGGGATTTGTCGTGCCGCGCCGCATCCAGTGTAGACCATAGATATGTATATATCGGCTATATCTATGGTGTAGACAGCATCACTGATTAGGCTATAATGAGTTCCAGAGTATTTTGTCACGCCGCGCCACTCACGTCCGGTGTAGACATGGTGTAACATTGGTTTTCATGGACAAAATTTCAAAACACAATTTGGACGTATGACGGAGTATTTCTGTGCTAAAAATCTTATTTCCGGGTTCGTACAAGTTTCGGAGAGTTTTTTTCGATTGTGGCTCTTCATGACGTAGTTGAGGGTGGAACTCCTTATATGGGCATTTCTCCTGGAAGAACACATCAACCAGAGCAAGAGCGAGATCGCGCCCATCAACGCGCTTCATCCGGCGGCAGCGCTGCACGGGACTCGCTCGGGAAGAATGTCTCCAAAGAAGTGTGTTTTTGGTTGTAAGGAAAGATAGCTTTGTTCAACTTCCTGAAGAAGCAGTCATGGAATTTCACAAGTGTGTTTGTTGATGAACGTTTTGGTCCAGCTTTATATTAGGTGGCCTTAACTACTATGTACTTGCATTTAAATTAATAATTTGGTACAATGCACTTATTGTGTACATACGTGTTTTTACATTGTACTTATATTTTTTTTAAATACCTATATGTAATTACATCTGTAATTAATTTCTTTAATTACATTTATAATTACACTGTTGACCCATCCCTTACACCTTAACCCGCACTTAAACCTACCCATACCACCAAAACTGTCCCCAACCTTACCCGTATCCCACCTCAATAGCAGCAAAAGTGTTTTGCAATACAATATGAACACATTAAGTACATTGTACTTATTTTTTATGTAAGTACATAGTAGTTAAGGCCACCTAATATAAAGTGTGGCCAACGTTTTATAAGCAATGCCCAGTTAGATGCTGGATTAGCATATCACATGATACTGAAGGATGGAGCGGTCGAGCTATAAAAGATCCTGGTCATGATTCAGAACTGTAGACGGTGAGTGAAACTGCATCAAATGTCTGTATTTTGTTGGCATTCGGAGCTCAAGTGCTCGTCAATCTTTAGCTCCGCCCACGGCGCGCCTCCAGGAGCTCGGCTTTTTCCTGAGAGAATCGTAAAGCTGTATCTTTCTTTTATAAATATGATAAAACTAAAGACTTTTGGAGATATAAAGGATGCAGTACCACTCTATAGGTACTCAAGATTAACATGAGATTGGGTGAAAAACTGTGTCCCCTTTAATAAAAAATAACACTTGCAAACATTATGCATTACATACAGTAAAAGCAGACTTAAATGTAAATATAAGTGAAAAAAGTGGTCATTGTCCTTGTGCAAATTCAGCAAGAGCTGAGGCAAGTGTGCAAAGCGCATTTCTACTTTCCACTGAGAGATACGTAACACAAGGACTGAGGTTTAATATGCACATAATAATAAAAATAACAATAAAATTATCTGTCAAACTGTCAAAAAGCAAAATAAACCATGAAATATCACAGTACAGTGTTGTACATATGTGTTGACATATGGGAACCCTGTGATTTCATCACCATTGGCTGATGGACTATATATTGTCTTTTGGTTTTATGCAGGCTGTGATCCTACATGTGCTGGTTACCACAACTTGTATTCCATTACTGCAAGATCCTGTGTAACCTTGCAGAAGTACCATCCACTCTCATTGGTTTTGATAAAAGTAATGTTGAGTGTTGACCAATCTTCATTTTTCTCTTTTAAAAAAACGTTGTTGTTCAGGTGTCTTGTAAGCTGATCTACAGTCTAAAATAGGTGTCTGGCTATAGTGCCAGCTCAATTTGGTACTTTCCACTTGGCTGAAAAGTGCAGAACTTTACAAACTTCAGCATACTTTGGTTCCAAATTGACGTTCAGTTGTTTTTCTTGAAGAGTGTTACTGATCAAAGCTTCTGTTGTTGTAATGAAAAGAATAGATATATTATGATCTGCTGCTAAATACAAACAGTAAGTATATGATTGGAATATTGATGATCTTGAGCCTCTTGTGAACATGATGGTTTCATGTTTTTTAACGTTAGTTGATACTAGTTGGATAATAAGTTTAACAAAATATCTGTGTGTGTATATAAATACGCTTTTAAAATAGCATGAATCTCACCTCTGACAAGAAGAAGAAAGATTGTACTGCAGAATCGATCCATGTCTATGTCGGTAGATGTATTCAGAATAGTAAATCGCCCTGAGACTAAATAAAACAACAGTCAAACAAGAAGACAACAATGAAGTTACTGTAAATGATTCATTCAACTTGATCAAACAACTTTATCTTTCTTCTCCAAACAAAAACAGCACCTGGAGTCTTCAGATGAGAACACCTGAAGTGTTCTCGTTCACTCGTGATGGTTAAAGCTGTTGAAGTCTAGATGGGTTCCTCTGTGGTCATGCATATATATGTAAGTGTTATATTATGAGTTTCTGATACCTTCTTCCTGTAGAAGAGTCTATTAGAAACTGTTTAAACTATGCTGTGCACCTTTTGCGCACATCATTTGTAACTTGAATGTGCTAAGCATCTGGATTTATCTACTTCCAGTAATTCTAGCTGTACAGCAGTCTGTTATGCTGATTGATATCACAAACTTAATGTATACAAAAGTTCGGAGCAAGTAAAGGACACCAATTAGTATAATAAAGTCTTTAATTTAAAATACATATTGCAAACATCATTGTGCATTACATACAGTAAAAGCAGACTTAAATACTCGTGTAATTAAATATCAGTGAGAAAAAGTGGCCGTCGTCCTTGTTCAAATTCGACAAGAGCTGAGGCATGTGTGCAAAGCACATTTCAACTACCCACAGAGAGACATGTAACACGAGTCAATGAATTTGAAAGGAAAGGACAATTAATATGCCACATTTAAGTTCAAATTCCTTGAAACAGGAACAAATAGCATCTTTTATTAAAAAGGTTCCTAATATCAAATGCTGACGCTTGCTATTATAGCCGTCTTCGATCAAACTACAGCATAGCTTGAGTCAGTTCATTTGTAAACATTATAAATTAACTCATCTGAAAGCACTGTGGTGTCACAATGTGAAGGAAGCCACAGTCCACCATTAAAACAACTGACAGCTACTGTATGTTAATATCACAGAAGAATATACAGTAAGTATATAACTGTGCAAATCCTCATTTTTCATAGTGTTTCATTAGGTAACTTGGATTATGTCTAGTTAAATCAACTTGAATATAAAATACATCTAAAAAGCTATGTATATATGCTGCTGTACAGCGTCAATTCACACTTTGGTAGTATGAATGGTATTTCATTCAATAAAACCAAAGTCAAACCATACTTTCCTTGATAGAAATTTAAATGATGTTCCCTGTTTCATTTAAAGTCAACATAAAAAGGTATTGAGAACCCATTTTACTTCCGTAATTTGATGTAAACAGGATATTTCAACAGAATATTTTTTCTGTTATACCCGAATAGAAATACCATGGAATAATTTTGAGTCGATTTTGATTTCCTGTTGACTTTAAAGGTATGAAACCGAATAATTGTGAACTGAGATTTTATATGCACACATAATAATAACAATAATAATAATAATAAAATTCTCACAAACAGTCAGAAACAAAATATGACACTGTAAAAAAATAAAATCATTCTGAACATTCAATAAATAAGTAATGACGTGAACCCTGTGCTTTCTCTCCCATTGGTTGATGGACTATAACTCGTCTTTTGGGTTTATATGCTGGCCGTGGTCCCACATGTGCTGGCTATCAAGGGCTTGAATCACCTCATCAGCTTGAAGCCTCTCCTGCAATTAGATTTAAAACACATCATATTTCATCATATTTGATCACATCACCAGCAATTTGCATGGCACCTAGTAGAGCTGTCAAAATGGCTGAAAAGCTCAATTCAAATTTTGTACTTGCATATTATCAATATTCAAATTATATTCCAATTTAAAAGGCATAATTTCAGTTAGGGGGGAAAAAAAGCTTTTGAGGCCACAAGAGGGCGCATCGAGCAAAATATTACTAAAGCATGTTTCTTAAAAGCAATAAAATAACATGACTATCTTTGAAAAAAGTGTTTAAAATAATGTTTATAAACATATATCATTAATTAACTTGCTTAAGCAAGTCCACTGAAGTACTGCTTCAGTCCAAAAGAACTTAAATAAAAATCGCCCATCCATAAAAAAAAGTGTCTCACATGGCTCCGGGGGATGAACAAAGGCCCTCTGTAGCGAATCAATGCATTTTTGTAAGACAAATATCCATATTCAAAACGTAATAATCACTTGAATCTAGCTTGCGCTCACTGTTGTAAACGGAGGCAGTTCCGGGTGGATGACGTATGAGGTCGGCTTTGCGCATGCGCCGCTCAGAAGTGACGCACGCGTAAACGCAGCGGAGAGATCAAAACAAAACAACGGTCAAGAATTAGAAGTACAAAACGAGGATTTGTAAAGAAGAATGTCAGAAGATTTCGATATAAGCCAAGAGGAGACTGGTTTTCCTTTGCTAAAGTAAAGAAACTTTGCTTCTTTTGATCCTGTAAACAAACGTTGGTTTTCACGAGACTCACCGGCGCATGTGCAACGCTGACCTCATACGTCATGCTCCCGGAACTGCTTTCAGTGTAAAACAGTGAGCGCAAACTACATTAAAGTGATTATTACGTTTTGAATATGGATATTTTTCTTACAAAAACGCATCGATTTGCTACAGAAGGCCTTTGTTCACCCCCTGGAGCCGTGTGAGACACTTTTTTTATGGAT